TTAAAAAGACTTCTAAGCGAAAGAATTATTAATACATGCAAGACATTATTCTAGAATTGTTATTTTAGCTAGGGTTTATCTCATTATTTACCATGGTTCCCACAACCCTAGTTATGGAGTTTAGTTACTCATAGCCATAAACACAATATTCAAATATATTTAATAAGAATTCATGTACTTACTTCAATGAGAAAGAATAAAGTCCGAAAATTTGCTTTATTAATCACCAAAAATCACTTGTAAGAATCTCCAAAAATCAAACACTACTACACAAAGTCTAATAATATGATGTCTAATCTAGCAGAGTCTAACCTCAAAAACGAGGTTTTTCGAACTATTTATAAAAATTAAAAACCTAATTAAACAAGGATTCTAATTACTGGAAATCTGCCAAAACGCGGCTGGATCGACGGACCGTCGTGGACTCCGTCGTCCCATACTTGGTGCGATTTCTTCTGCTGCTTTCTTCATTCCCCTCGACGGCAAGTATGACGGACCGTCATAGGCAAAACGGTCCATCGAGGGTCTTTGTTTCAAAATACTTCAACTCTTGGAATCTGGGTACTGGGATCATTTCTCTGATCTTCACGACGAACCTGCAGGACGGACCGTCATAGCCATGACGGACCGTCACAAATTTCGTGATCCCACACTTGGTCAGACTTCCCCATCTTCCTTCAGCAGCTTCTCTACGCTGCCACCTACAGACCGTCACAGGCACGACGAACCGTCATAAACTCCGTAGGTGGTCTCTTCTGCATTTTTTCGCTCAAAATCTCCGCATTCAGCTTTGGACAGATTTTCTGCCAAACAAAGAGAAACTTATATCGAAATTAGCACAAAAAGGCATTCGGACACACTAAACTTAAGGAAAAAATATTAATTATACCGTGAAACCACGGTATATCAATATGTTGTCATTGTCCTAAATTGGCAAAATTGAAAATCCCAAGAGTTTTTCTGAGAATCCTCAATTACATTTTAAGAATATGAGTATTAGACAAGTCTAAGCTGAAGATTACACACTGAGAAGGGACAAACAATAATGTAATTGAATATAGAACGAGCAAAACAACTTTAGAAAAAGACTTGCATTTCATCGACTGTTTAATTGAAGACCAATATGAAATCTATGGTTGGATCTGCCCAATAAAATAAATTCAAATTTGAACTTCAAAAAGGATTACTACTTGCTTTGTTATGTTTGTTCTTTATTGTGTTACCTTTAGAGAGGTTTGTTTATACATGCAAATGAAGAGGCGGAAGAAAAAAATATTGACGAAAAAATCATTGACGTAGTTAAATTGTCGTGCCATATCAGATACTATTTTTCTTCCATCACCTGAAACAAAACATATATAACTTTATACAAAATCATCTCTTGGAAAATAAATAAAAATGCATAACATTGGAAGTATTTTACAACCATTTGTAACGTTACTAATGCCATCCGCCTATTTTGACACACCAAAAATAAATAAACAAAAGCGGTGAAATTTCTGAAGCAACAAATATGACTTTCCTGTTTTGACACATCAAAAAATAACATTTACCTTCTCAAACACTTAAAAGATCTTCATTTCTTTCCAATAGTCTTGTGGAGTTGGTTTTGGAGATCAACAAATTGACCCATTTGACCATTATCACCTGTAGATGCAGTGAACTAACAGAGAGCTGTCGCACCAGAAATGAATAATGATGTCGAATTGATGTAATATCTCGAATTATGATTAAAAAATTGGAGAAAATAGCAAGTGATAATGCAATTTGATCAATATCACTTTCATTTCTCTATTGTTATATTGTTTTGCAGAACAGACCCACATGTTACTTCTCATTTTCACGCATTTCTCCTCATTCAAAAAGAGAAGGTAGAGAAATGCACTTTTAAGATCAAAGATCCCTTCATCAGAACATGGGTTCGTTATAGCCGCTGAAACCATTCAAAAGTAACCCAAATTGGGGATTAAAGTACATGTATTGGTGCTCAATTTACCCAAAGCAAAGGAAAATTACATATATGAAATTGGGAAAGAGAGTAGAGAGAGAAACAACTGGTGAAAACCTCACCTATCATATCGGTACATTATCGCTTGAATTATTCTGCACTCATTAGCATTCAACATTAGGATTAAACTACATATCCAATAGGAAAGTCAAATAAACAACTTGATTATGTAAATGTACTTGCATGTGCGGGCTCAAGTGCCTGTAGAGCTATATATTATATGCTTACCGGTTAACATTCAACATGAAAATTCAGCTGCATATCCAATGGGGAAATTAAACCAACATGACAATGTAAATTCACGGGCGCAAGTGCTTATAGAGCTTTATATTATGTGCTTTCATAGAATTTTCCTTATATGAAACAACTTTAGGAGTGTATTATGTTCAATAAACTAAAGAGGGAGGAATACTGAACTCTCTAGGCTATGAAAATAGGGAAAATTTAGGCATAACTCACTATCTTAGTTAAAAGTATAGAAAGATATCAAAATTAAGCTCGACAAACCTGAAAATGCTTCAAATTTCAAAATTAAGCTCGATGTTTCCAATATCAAAATATCTGAATTTTCAATTTTTTTTCTTCCCTTTCTTGTAGAAGTACATGCGAAGGCCTACATGAAAAAATTAACAAATTGAATAAATAAACACATCAATAACACAATGGAAGAAACACTACATTTCAATAAAAAAGAGAACAAAAGTAATTGAAATACAAAGTTGTAAATATAAATGAAGGAGAGAACGACAACAACAATAACATCCAATCAATATTAAATACAGTGTGTAAATATAAATGAAGAAGAGAACGACAACAATAACAACATCCAATCAAGATTAAATCCAGTGCATGCAACATTACCATAATCCAAACACCAAAATTGAAAAATAAATAAAAATTAAACCCATCAAATGAATAATTGAAAAAAGGTGAAGCAAAATTAAATTAAACATGAGTAATCGAAAGAATTAAGGTGTACTAAAGCAAATTAAAAACTAAAATGAGAAGAAAAGAATGAAGGCAAGAGGAAATGCATTTCTGGGTAGCTAAAGTTCACCTGAAAATTTCTGATGGGGCCTTTCATTTTGTTGAATAGAACTTGGAAGTTAAGCAAAGAAGAGAGTAAAAAAAGCAGTGGTGAGAAAGTGAAAAATAAACTGAGATATTTCAATTTTTTTTACACAGAAAGTGGTGATACACGTGGAGTACATGCTGTACACTATGAAAAATAAAAGTAGATGACATTACTATTTTAATCATACTCGCCCATGTCCTTTTTAAAGTACAATTTTTACTGCTTCTTGTACTATATTTTGATGCCATGTTCGTCCTCATCAATTGTCCCTTCTAAACAAGGGGATATATATATATATATATATATATATATATATATATATATATATATATATATATA